CCTTATGAAGAGTTGCCTGTGAATATGTCAGAGTTTGTGGAAGTGTTATCGGAAAGGATGGATGATATTCACCATCGAGTGCGTTCAAACTTGTCTAGCAAACACTCGAGCCTTCACGATCCTTCTAGAAACTCATCACGTGTTACCAGCGTCACGTGACTTCCGCTGTCGTAACAGTAGGGTTAATGCTTTGTGATATTGCATAGATTCAAACCAAGCTTGCCACCTCTAAGATTCAGATTTATATCATAAGTCTAACCCCAACATTTCTACGAATCAAGTTTTATCAGGAACGTCGGGAGCCAGCACGTGCCCCGGGGCAAACATCCTCGCCGGGCCCCCTTTCTCTCTCTCTCTCTCTTTTTAACATTTTCAAGAATTTATTAAAAAGAAGGTCTTAAATTAGGACAGTAACGAGCTCATAAACCAGACAAAATCATAGCAGCAGCCGTTTTTAACCTCACAGTATAAGCATAAAAGCGTTAATAAAGTAACAACAAATATCTATTAAATCTGTAAAGTAACAAACACATATTAAATATTATTATTCAAATTATTATTTCAGTCGTTCGTAATGTATCAAACGTCTATAAGCCAAAAACTATGTTTTTTATCATTAAATGAAGATATAGCCTAAAGATGCATTGCGGTCTTTACGGCATAACTAGATTTCATTCGCCAGGGCCTCTGGGCAATTGCTCCCTTCCCCTGTGAGCAGGCCTGAGTTTTATACAAAAATACCATTTTCGAGGAATTTAACATATTGAATCATCGTATGTGAAAATATATAAACGTTACAATCTCCTTTTAATTCTGTTTAACTTTTATACTGAACTTTTTAATGACTATCCCTAATTATATGTTGGCTGACTGAAGGACAGCAAGAAGATATGCAAGAGAACAAAAGCAAGAGACAAAATTTTGTGAATACCCACTTTTATTGCCAGGCCAAAGTCCCAGTGTGATATCCCACAATCTTTAAATTGCATATTTCAACCATTGTTTTACGTACGTAATTCGAACCATCCTAAGTTAGTTTGTACAGGTTTCTGAATCACCTGCTTAAAACAGTAACTCCTCAGAAAGTCCGTGTATAAACGTATACACACTTGAGATTTACAAATAAAAGTTACTTTATGTAACCTTTTCTGTTTAAACGGATTAGGATATTGTTACGCCTCTGGTCGTTTGTTAATTTTCCGTAGAAATTCTTTCCGAAAAACTTCAGCAATACAAGTCCTTCCTTAAATAAAACTAGTTTATTCTTTCTCAATACAACTTTGCAATACACTTAATTTCCACAGTTACTTTAAACACACGCTATAATTCACATGATTCACTAACGGTCATTACCGAGCTTGACTCAATTGTCCGTCTTTATCTCTGCCTATCTGCAATTCAATTCCGATTAATTTGTCTCACGGTTTCCGGCGCACTTATATACAGGAATAGAGGGCGCCTAGCACATACTGGATTATTCATGATGTTCTCCGATCCTTCTAGAATATCATGACGTGTTACCAGGTCACGTGACTACCGCTGTCGTAACAATATTTTTAAACCTTACAACATCCCGTCAACATGGATGTGATTCACTACATGCCGAAAGTGTATGAAAATGTAAAAAAAAAATCACAAGAATATATATAAATACAAATTACATACTAATTATGAAAGGTGAAATGTGATTATATTAAACCATCATACTGGGAGGCGACAAAAATACTAATTACGCAGTTAGCTCCGGCTCATAAAATATTTGTATAATTCTAAATTTTCTTTTTAAATGACTTAAGAATAACATTAATGCAAATGTCATAACGTTCGTAAAGACATTATAACATGGGTGGCTGGTCTCAACCTTAGCTGTGTTACTAGACTTACGGTATTCTTCTCTGTGTTTTTTATTTTAACCCTTTATTGTTTTAAAGAGCGTAGTCGCTTAAGTGTAAAATTTTATTTTCCACTATATATTTAGGTTGTTGACAAAATGTAACTAAATATCTAGCTCTAGAAGGATTAAAAATTAATTATTTGTAAAGGACACTTTCCCTTTACCTTAAGCACTTTTTAGGACTTTCACAGGGCTATTTAAAGTTATTTGAAAGTGGGGATGGAGGCAAAAATACACTTGTCACCTTTATTTTAGACCATATCTAAAAATCTCCAACTGCTTGTTTGTTTTAACACAAAGCTACACAACATACTATCTGCTGTCCGTCCGCCATATGTAATCAGAACTTGGATTTTAGCGTTGTAAGTCTGTAAACTTAGCACTGACCCACAGAAGAACATTTCTGACTGACAGCCATAGAACATATTTTTAGTGTTAAATCAATAAATAGTGTTTTAGTGTTTTGGAATTATCTTTCCCCCTGTTGTCAGTAGTAAGGTTAGGAACTTAGAACGCTAAAATCCGGGGTTTGATTCCATATGGTGGATAGAGTGCAGATAGTCATTGTGTAGCTTTGCGCTAAAAACAACAATAACATTGATATTACCTTGCGGTTGAAAATATATGACCACGAGCTGGATTATTTTGTCAGTCTAACATAATTGCGATCATTACTGTTATAAAATAAAGTAAACTTACTAGCTTAACTGTTTTTGAATAATAATTAATGTACACTGGCAGTAAGCGAAAAAAGTGGGGTACTAAACTATATGGTTTGCTACTCCTGTAATCAAAGTGAGGGAAGTCACGTGCACTTATGCCTCTTGCTTTAGGCTCCTGTGGGCCCATATTATCTACCTTTCTCTCATCTCTCTTGTCAAATATATACCTCTATATGACACATTTATTGTAACTGAACCTTGAAACTGGTGCCATTGGAAAAGAAAAGGTCCGGATATATTACATTTTTACACAATGTACAACACTTTCATGTTTCTCGTTCCCCATACTCTGTGATTTACGAATTAAAAAAATCCTAAATATTGTAATCGTCACCAGATGACACTCGTTGTAACAGGAAAGCAGACTAAAAGTGTAGTAGCAGTTATGAACAGGAACTTGTGAAGATATGGAGGAGCGTTGGAATTGAGACGTAAGATGGGCTAATAGTACACTAGTAGTTTTGATGGAAAGTATTATATTGAAGTATTTTATTCTATATTAGAATAAACCGTTTAGTTTTGTTTTCACATTTAAGCAGTTATGATAGGCTCATTATTAGTTACATATTCATTTTGTTCATGTAATGTATGCAAAAACAGTAATTCTGTGCGTAATTCTTATCGCACTGGCACTTGTATTGCTAATAATGATGGATAGACTGGGCTCATTTTTTGGAATAGCATTTTGTGGTGTTTTATCATTTTGTGGTACAACGATAGCTATCCGACAGCTTCTTATGAGATATGATACCAGATGCCCTTCAACTCAAAATTGTTCCGAACAACAACAGAGATCTGCACTTGACAGAGGAAATGTGACAATTAAAATTAATGCGAATTTATTGGATTGGGTAGAAACAGTACTTTTAGAACCTGAAGATGTTCCAGTTCCATCAGACTCGCAAACTTTTTTGCATGAAACTGTGCAGTGTTTTGATGTAAATCATCCAGGGAGTGAATCTCAGAAAGACGAGCATATGAATTTCACCAGTGTTTGTAGTGGTTCCAATAATTACATGAAAGAGGTCAGAGTGTTTGTTCATAATATATCTTGCTACTACATAAAATCATGGTATTTTCATTTAAGCCAGGACAGAGAATTTCCAGATGAAATTGGTGACATACTTGAAGATGTATTGTTTGCAGCAGGTACAAAGTTATCTAAATTAAATGTTTCATTATTATTTCATGAAATTTTGCTCTGTTGCCATCAGCATTTCTCAGTTTACCTCCGAGCTCTAGAAATGCTTTCTGAAAATGAGAAAAAGCAAAGGTTGGCTGACTATACTGCTTTTGACTCTAAGATTGAAGAAGCTATTCTGGTAAGTTTCCATATGTTTTATACTGATATAAGGAACATAAGATAAAACAAGATGATGTGAAGATATTTGAACATTCAGGCTACCTTTACTTACAAAATATTTAAGAGCAACATTAACTTAAGTCAATTTGAATATAACTTCCAGCATTGATATACCTATCATGAATTGCTTGGTATTTACCACTGCTATTAGAAAACTGTACTGCCTCTGTATAAGATTATAAAATAGGTTCTGTTGTGGATGGATATTCTGATATGCATAGCTAATTAAGTTTATTATCTGCCATTGTTCAAATGGAATCTTGCTGTGGATTTACACCTTTCTTTTTCTGAAAAAAAAAAAAAATGTAGTTAATGTCATTTTGAAAAAAGAATGTACTTTTTAAATAGATTTGTGAATTTTTTTCCAAGGCTGGCCACAGAAGTATTTAGCCTCCCAGAGGCCTAATGTTAAGCATATTGCTTGTCTTTCCAGTTAGATATGAGTTGTTATTGTTAGAAGCTTTTTTGTTTTTGTGACTAAATATTAATTTCTAATTAGTTTTTATCATAAATATCTGATACTAATCGGCAGGCGTATCAAGAAAGCCCTGATAAGGACTATTGCTGTGTTTATAATGGATAGAGTTAAATCCTGGGCCTTCTTGATAGAATGTATGGTGTGATATCCACTTGATTGGAGTCAATCTTTCTAAAACTTCAACCGTCTAACTATTTCAATGTTTTAAGGGAGGGTGTCCAGATTTTGGTGACTTCTGTGCAACGTTGACTAAATGTTTTATTAGTTAGGTGGATATAGGCTTTTTTAGCTTTCATTTTCTTGTGTGTGGTTTATATTGTATTGTTTTATTACAGTTACAATTTATTGTATGATCTTCTCTGGCATGATGAGTAATACTGAGTCTATATGTCTGCTACGATCTTGAATTCTAGCTGTCGTTAGGTTTTTATTTCTCTGATGTATTAGAATCTACATTCACAGAAGATGCTTTAAATGGTATGTTTTTTCTCTTTATTGAGCTTTTAGACAGTATGGTGTGTACTATCTGCAATTCCATTCTGACTTTACTGTTTACATATTCTCTGTACGTGGCTCTGTATACCATTTTAACTGTACTGTTTACATATTCTCTGAACGTGGCTCGGAAAACCATTGTGACTGTACTGTTTACATATTCTCTGTACGTGGCTCTGAATACCATTCTGACTGTACTGTTTACATATTTTCTGTACGTGGCTCTGAATACCATTGTGACTGTACTGTTTACATATTCTCTGTACGTGGCTTTGAATACCATTGTGAATATACTGTTTACATATTCTCTGTATATGGATCTGAATACCATTATGACTGTACTGTTTACATATTCTCTGTACGTGGCTCTGAATACCATTCTGACTGTACTGTTTACATATTCTCTGTACGTGGTTCTGAATACCATTCTGACTGTACTGTTTACATATTTATTGTACGTGGCTCTGAATACCATTCTGACTGTACTGTTTACATATTCTCTGTACGTGGCTCTGAATACCATTGTGACTGTACTGTTTACATATTCTCTGTACATGGTTCTGAATACCATTGTGACTGTATTGTTTATATATTCTCTGTACGTGGCTCTGAATACCATTGTGACTGTATTGTTTACATATTCTCTGTATGTTTTTTGAGAGATATCTATTGTTGTGAAATATAGCCTGTAATTCTCGTCCTGTTTAATCTTGTTATTTATCTTCTGTATCATGTGTTCCAAGTATCCATTGTTAAGGAGGGTTGCAGTGTTTTGTTGTTCATCCTTCATGTAAAAGCTAACCATGACAGTGTTAGCTTTTCTTTTGGAAGAATTGATTACTGTCTGTTAATGGTGTATTGGCTAGAAATTATGAATTTTGTAAGAATGAAGCATAGTATTGAAGTGTAAAAAATTCACAGGTTCACAAATCAATAAAAAATTAGACAACACTTGGTTCTGTAGGTTTAGCTAAGAAATTGATTATATTTAATTATACTTAATGATTAGTTAATCATGACCTAGAATTATATTGTGTTTTGAGCAAATGATACGGGTACTAACCCAAATTACATTTGAAGTAAATTCTCTTGAGTAGCTTTTGAGCTCAGATTTAGCTCCCACTAGCATTGAGACTAATGGTTTACCATCTGAGTTGTTAAAGCTTCATGCTTCGACTAGGTGACTTTTTTCTTGGCTCTTTAAATATTTCAAAAGATGCCCTAACCCTAATGAATACCCACAACTTGTGTTGAACTAAATGGTGTGATTTATCACAACATAATCCAAAGGTATACATGTAAATAACATCTATAACAAAAACCAAAAAAATGGCAAGTTATGAAAATTGCCCAGCCACATAAAGTTGAGATATCAGACACACTAGCCGAGCTAGAAGAAACAACTGAGGCAACATTGTAATTTGCTATTACTTCTATTATCTTCATCCACTGGTATCAAACACACAAGACAAGTTAGAAGAAACAGCTAGGGAACACAATTTTAAAAGTTGACCAACAAATATTCACTTTTAGAATGAATGTAGTTTTTCTTTCTGAAGTTTTATCTCGTACTTTGATTTTGAAGAATGTGTAGTACAGAATGTTCATGTCATCTTGGGATTTTAACTAATCATAGTTGAAAATTTAGGGTCTTGTGTAAAAGCGGGAAGATCAATAGAGATGGGTGATTAATGTAGTTTGATAATTAATTAATTTTTGGACATGTTAATCCAGTATATTCAGCTGATCAGTTATCAAGCTTGGCAATTAACTTATTAATCAATTACCTAGGAAAATCAAATACATTGAATAGTGTCATAATGTAATCAGTTGATGAAACTTGCACTTGAATAAATTAATCTCATGTAAATAATCAACTAATTGAAATTAGTGTTTCCAATAGTTACTGTTTTCAATTATTTCAGAGATCTTAGTAATCAAAATATCGTCATTATGATTTCTCATTATTATCTTAATTATTTCATGCTTGTTCAACTCAACTGTTTGGTGCTACAACTCGTAAAAATAACCAATTAATCAAAAGAAGTGTTTCCAGTTATTAATGGTTTGATTATTACAATTATCCAAGTCAAAATTCTCATACGAGACTTGGATAATTGGAATAATTGAAAATAGTGTTATAACATGGTCTGTTGTTGGGTGTGTTTTTTTCAGTGTATTCGGTAAAAAATAATCTGAAGTCTAGTCAACAATAACAATTTATTTCTTCAATAATGTTTCATACAGGTTTCAGGCTACATTTACTAGGGGACCTAACTTAATGAAAAAGATTTTAACAGAAATTCTGAAAGTACTGTACTCACAAATAAAGTTCATGTAACTTACTTGCTACTTAATCTATAAAAGGTATAACTCTATCACTGATTAACAGACTCACTCATGAAACTGTTTAACTCCTAAGGCTTAACTCACTCAATATGAATTTTTATATTGTATTTGTTTTTTATCTCTATCTATATATATATATATATATATATATATATATA